GTGTGAACAAATCAAACGATGTTGAGAATAAACAAAGTGTTATTGAAAATATAATCAAGGAAAACGACATTCATGATTCATCTACATACAGCAAGATGATCAAGAATATCAAATTGATGAACGCTGCGATTAATCTCTACACAAAATCGCCGAATACAACCGGCGAGTGCAATATCAATGTCGTTGTTCACCGAAATAATAATATAAATCAAATTGCACTTACTCAGTATTGTTCAAGATTTTCAAATGGTTTGGTTGAATCGTTGATTGGAGTTATGATATTTGATCCAATATCAATGAAGATTTATTTTTCAACTGTCGATAACAAATTAAATAGTCAAGGTATATCTAATTCGTTTTGCATCATGCACACGATTCGAATTCCAACTGAAACCGTTTTGAACATTCGGATACTGATATTAGAAGCATCTAAATGGAAAAGAAGAGCGTCAGTTTTCAAAGATGAAAGATTAAGGAAATAGATAGATCGATAAGAATTAAGTCACAGCTGGAATTCATTTTCGAAGAATAGCAGAAAACAAGCAAAATATTTATATGCGAATACAGATTCAATCGCTTAGAGAAAAAATTCCAAGAACTCATGAAAAGACCGATGTGAAACAGTAAACATGTGCCAGTAGGTTCCCGCAGACGTGTATATTCCGGTTCGTTGTTACTGTCAAGGACTCCACGCATAAGTCTGTGTGATTAACAGAAAGTAAAATTATCTAATGACGATACGTTTGCTCGAGACTAGATTGGGGATAGATGAAAATATGATCAGGTATTCATTCCCGCAATTTGCTTCCGATGAAGTAAAAAGTCGTGATTGGTGAAAGGCATTGCATTTGTTATTTCTGGTTCGATAATTTATGTGAATCGTCTTCAGTTGAATCAAATATCTTGATCGTATTGGAAAACAAGCATCGTGAACAAATAGAGCTGAATCTTGTCCATTTGACTCATCTAAATCGTAAAAGTCACACAACATTGATATCGAGAGCATTTTTCTTTGTAAACAGTCGATCTCACAGAAATGTATCTGTAAGACAAAAGACAAGCACTTCGTTTACGTTATATTTGTTTTCTACGTATCTGAAGCGCTGGAACATCTTGAAAAGATTTCGAGTATTTCTTCAGAAACTCACCGTTTCAACATACTAAAAGAGTTCTGTATCTAGTAAAAACGCAAATATGAACTTACCTCTTTAAACTTCTCTACTATTGGAAGCTCTTTTTAATGACGATATCTAGACTTTATTATCCTCTGCACATTTTGCATCTAATTTACCTACAATATAGATAATAACCATTGCAATTGATCTTTCTTGGCATTTCTTTTTTTGTAGAAACTGCAGAGCAAGCCTATCGGGTTAATTCAATTGCAAGTTTTAGAACAAACATGTTAAATGCCAATGGAATTGAATTATTTGGAGACGATGCTGAACAGCTCATCAAACATGTCACTACTATGGAAGAAGACGTAGACATCGACTCAGATGATGAAGCCAAAGAGTTTGAAGAGGAGTCTTATGATTGATAAAATAAGAACACTCATATATTGAGCTTTTATTCAAATACATTTGCTCATTGACCACCAGCTGAGATACTCAC